GACTTTTTAATCACACTTTTTATTCGAAGATCGGATTGTTTGGGTGTCCATTGTCGTGGCATCCGCAAGCATGGCTCGTTTCGATTCCTCCGACTCGATTCGATTTGACTTCGATTGCTCCCGATTCCGATTCGATTCGGCTTGGGATTCCGCTTTGGGTTCCGATCTCTCACTGGAGGCACACTATCCTGCAGATGTCCTCTCCGGTTCTGCTTTTCCCGTTTCGGCTGCCGATTTCCGCTGATCCGATTCATCCCGATCGCAGATGCGCCTTATCGATTCGGTTCTGGCTCTCGTGGGGCTGGGGTTTCGCTGGGCGCCCGCCCGGGGGCGCCCTGTGATTGGCTTCCACTACGCAGCATGCCACAGGAGTTCCTTTCCAAGAGAATACCTGGGATGCCCCCTCGGCGGCGTGCGAGGGGGGGGAAACAAGAAGGGGAAAGCCTTTTTCAGAAGGCGGCGGGACTTCGCAGAGGCTCTCGCGCCTTCTGAAAAGGTTTATATGACAACACTTTCCAAAGGGCCCGAGTCTAGGCCTCCTAGATGGGGTCCGAGTAGATGGGGTCGGAGGATCTCGCCGCATCGCCGATGCATCGGCGATGCGGCTCGATGTGGGGCCCAATTTTCTCCACGCTGACGTCGCCGATGCATCGCCGACGCCGCTAGCGCATCGCCGATGCATCGGCGATGCGGCGAGATCCTGCGACCCCATCTACAGTCAACCCGCATAGTAAGGACGGGCAGTCTTCCCAAGGGTACCCTTGCATCCTTGCCTTCTCGGCCCATCCTTGGCCGCTGTCGCTGGTCGCGGCCCGCTCGAAAACTTCGAAATGGGCGTCCAAGGTCCTTGCATCCTTACTGCGCATCCTTACGATACTGGTTGACTCTACTCGGACCCCATCTAGGAGGCCTCTACCGAGGACCCCCGAGCCTTCTGAGAAGGCCTGCCCCGTCTCACTTCTCCGCCAGGCTCGCCGCCGGCACCCGCCTCCCGAGCCCGGGCTTCTCGGGGCGCCCCTGCGACGCTGCAAACCACATTCAGGAGGGAAAGAGACACACAGACACGATTAATCGTGGCCCTCGGAAGGGTCTTGTGTCCTATCGCGTGTCCTGTCCAATCGAGTCCTACGGTATGGGGGTGGATTTGTTGCCCTTTCCAGGAGGGCCCTAGGGGCTCCAAGGCGGAGCGAAAAGCCGGGGGGGCCCCTCGGGCCAGGGGGCACTTCTGGCAGCACCCGAGCGCAGAGGCCGGCGACCGAGGGGCCGACATAAGTCGGGAGGGACAAAACAACACACAGACACCATTCATCGTCGACGCCCAGGAAAATATGGGAGGATATGGGAAGTGGGGGGGAAGACAGCAACCCAGAACATGTGGACAAAAATAGGGGGATTCCTGCTCTTTGTGTGTATTTATTTGTGTGTGTGTTGTGGGCGCCTTCGTACATCTGGTTCTGCCTGATCGCTCCTTTTCCATGCGAGTTCACATCATCTCAGCCCGACCGGTATCGACCCCCCATGTTTTTTCCCTTCAACTAATACCATGCGCGCAGTTTCTCTCATCTCAAATGTAGAAAGTTCTCAGGGGTTGACAGACCTCCTACCTTGACACGTCGATTAGTGAACTGGCCGTTTTCGGTTCGCGAGAGGGCGTCGCGGTCGTCATTTTTGCGGGTCCAGGTCCGTCGGTTTCGGTCCTAGGCCGTGTTCACGAAAGGATGGTTTACTAAAGGGAGGTTTGTCCACCGCCGAGTTTCCAAGACATCCTTTTTGTAAACCATGTCACCAATCACACACGCGCGCGCACTTGTCAAAATCAGTCCACACACATTTGTTTGCAAGCAGTTCAACATATTGACATCACACATCGTCGGATCTTTCATCGCAAGCATTGCAGATTGTCTGCCCGCCAGCATCTGCTGCAATCGTAGGACAGCTTCTCTGACTTCAGCAATCTGGTCCAGACCCCGCCTTCTCATCTCACTACCTTGGCATCGCTCGGACGTGTGCATTTTTCCTTCGGCGAGGACCATCGAGGAGCATCCTTGATCATTTGGAGAAAAAACCACGCACGAAACCCAAAAAACAAAGGGAATGGACGTCCGAGCGATGGCCAGCTACGGGTTGCACCCTCTCGGATCTAACACGCTCCTGGTGCACGAAGACATACCATATGATGCCACGCTGGCCCCAACGCGCGTGCCGCCACGCGTGTGTGCCGGCATCCTGGCAACGCCTCTGGTTTCAGAAGCATTTCAAATTTAATCTCTTCAACCACATGAGCCACACGTCTGCTCGAGTTCTGAACTGCCTGCGCGCGCGAGCTTTCTCGTCATCACCTGCAAAATTGCCATCGCATCACCGCCGTTTTCGTCATCGCCACCCGCCAGCATCGCCGCCATCCTCTGTCAATCACCTTCATCACTGCCTCATGGACATCATCATCGTCATCTTCGTCACCAGCATCGGCGCCGTCATCATCGCCATCACTATCGCTACTATCATCATCGTGGTTGCCGGGGTTGGTGTCATCATGATATCGCGCCCGCCCGGGTCATCGACCCGCACTCAAGTGCCCACGCGCCAGCGCGGCCGAAGATGCCATCGGCAAGCGCCATCGTGACCGCACGAATTGTACCAAACCAGTTTGCCAATCTTCGCGCGAGCTTGCGCGCGCCAGCGCGGCCGCAGAGATGCGCCAGCCAGGGCTAATCACTCATCGCAATCGCGGCCGCAGGGGATTTGCAGGACAAGTCTCGGGTGGGAGGGTGGGATGGTTGCGCGAACAGTTGAGTTGGCAGCTCCAATATAAGTTGGCACACATGCGTTGCGCCACATAGCTTGCACCACAAGGCTTGCGCCACCTGCGTTGCACCGCGTAGGTTGTACCACGTTGTTTGTACCGTACACGTTGCACCACACACAGATTCTCCTATCTAAAAAGAGAATAGACTCTCCCCCCCTGGAGTTATCGCTACCCCTTTCGGGTATGTAAATCACATATGATTCTGACCACATGTCCATCCTAAATATGAAATCACTATGTCCCAGGCCAACCGGGTTCCCCCCCCTGAGGTTCCCTAAAAAAACACACACTATGTGGTGACATTTTTTGTTCTAGCATAGCACTTTTCACGAATCCCTTGCAAAACATGGGACGAAGTGCGCACGCGCGCGTCGTCGTGCATGCCGACATCCTTCAAAAACCTTCGGTGCCGGAAGGAATTCGCAATCGAGTTTCCAAAACACATACAACAACACAGGGTTTCGTAACACTGATTTGCTAAAAAAACTTACGCGCGAGCTCTTGCGAAAACTTAAGAAAACCATTATTGTTTTCCAGATTTTCACAACATGCTACCAAACGGGCGTCGCGCGCGCGCCTGTCGAAGTCTTTGGAACGCCCTTGCGCGTGTGCCGTCGCGAGAATCCTCTGCAACAAAAAGGGACGAAGTGCAGACGCGCGCGTCGTCACGCGCGTACGCCGAAATCCTTCAAAACCCATCGGGTTCGGAAGGATTTCAAAATCGCGCGTTCAAACAACCTACAAAAACACAAGGTTTCGCAACACGGATTTTCAACAAGAGCGTGCGCGCGCGCTCTTGCGTCGTCGTCGTCGTCGTCGTCGCCGTCCTCCCTCCTCCCGCGTCGTCGTCGTCGTCGTCGCCTACGTCGTCCTGTGTCTTCCCTCGTGTTCGTCGTCGTCGTCCTCTTTGGCGTCGTAGTCGTTTCCGTCGTCGTTGTCGCCGTGGTCGTCCTTCCTCCTCCTCCCTCGTCGTCGTCGTCTTCCGTCGTCGACGTCTCGTCGGCGTCCCTCCTATTTCGTTGCCGTCGTCGTAGTCGTTGTCGTCGTCTCGTCGTCGTCTTCCCTCCTCCCTCGTCGTTGTCGTCGTCGGTGTCGCCGTCCTTCCTCCTTCTTCGTCGTTCGCGTCGTCGCCGTCCTCCCTCCTCGTCATTGTCGTCGTTGTCGCCGTCGTCGTCCTTCCTCCTCCCTCGTCGTCGCCTTCGTTGGCGTCGTCGTCGTCGTCTTCGTCGTCGTCGGCGTCGGCGTCGTTGTCGTCGTCGAAGTCGTCGGAGACGTCGTCGGTGTCGTCGTAGTCGTTGTCGTCGGTGTCGTCGTAGTCGGTCTTAAGAGGTTTTGCAAACCAAGTTGCGGGCGGGTGGGTGGGATGTCTGCGCGAGCAGTGGAGATGACGACTTCAAGTTCAGCAGAGTGGGTTGCACCACATAGCTTCCACCACAAAGCTTGAACCACATAGTCTGCACCACGTAGCTGGCACCACATCGACAACGCACGCATAATACAATACCTCTCTTTGTGTGCTCGTGTGTTTACTGTTTTTTTGTTTGGTTGTTTCTATGTATGCGTGCTTGCGTGTAACTAATCTATGTCTATGTAACCCGCCCACATATATACGTGTATATACACGTATGTAGAGATACACGTATATATGTATACAGATGCATAAGCACAGACGTTACATTATTTCACCAGTTTTTGCCCCATTGGGCCGTCGTCGGCCCCTGGGAACCAACGAGTTCCTGGTCGAGGAGCTGGCCTCGGGGAGGGGGTCCAGATCCTGCTCCTCCTCCCCCTCTCCTGTCTCCTCAGGGTTCCCGAAGGTCTCTGGAGGCCGCCGGGAGGTTCGCGGAGTTCTCCAGGGGTCCCTGGAGGCTTCATGAAGCCTCCGGAAGACCAAGACAGGTGAGAAGCTCTGAGAAAGTTCGTTCCACCTCCCCCTTCTCATGAGGAGGAGGAAGGACGTTTCAGCGGTGGAGAGAGGGGAAGAAAGACGAAGAGGAGGGACATTTGGAGGAACAGGACGAGGAGGATGAATAGAAAGAGGATGAATCCTCCTCTTTCACCTCCATACATTTGCTCATCTTCCTCCTCATTCCTCCTCCTCTTCTTCCTCCTCCTCCTCCCCGTCCCCCTCGACCCTCCTCCTGCTGGGGTTCGGAGGCTGCCCAGCTTTCCGCCCTGGAGCCCTGAACGGCAGGACAGCGATGGGTGTGGAGCCCTGCGCGAGTTCTACCTCTACCGCGCTCAGTCGGACGCGGAGTACCCGGAGGAGCTCCCGGGGTGCAGCGACGATTACTGCAGATTTCGTAATAAAGGGAGGGGGGTCTCATTTCGGGGGGGGGTCTCTTCCAGGCTATCTTGGAGGGCCTGGGGGGTCTGGGGACGATGTTTTGGAGGGTTCTCCCACGGGGGAGGTCTGAAATGGCTTGTCTTGGAGGGTCCAGACCCCCTCCCTTTTATTACGAAATCTGGAGTACGGCTGACGTCCTGGCGGATGAGTAGTACGGTAGTTCCATGTCGTGTCGACTGAGCGGCGACCCCGCCGCGGGCGTTCAAGGTTGAGCGACGCCGGTGGCCCAGAATCGACCAACTTGGAACGATCTGGCGATCGAGAAGCCGCCGATCGTCCAAGGTTGAACGATCCTCGCGGTGGCAGACACCACCGCCAGGGTCGTCACACGAACCTGCCGTAGGAGGGTGTTCCCACAGGTGTCCCTTCCCCAAGATGGCCCCAGGACTTTCGGAAACGCGCCCACGGCCTCCAGAACACCCCTGACGAGGCCCAGGGGGGCAGGCGCCCTTGGCTGGCCAGGGACGCCGCTGGCAGCCACCGAGGGAGGGGAGGGAGATCTGGGCGTCCTGCGGCTCGGCAAAACTGGGGCGGCCAGTTTGTCAACATGTTTCGGAAGTCCAGGGGGCCGCTTCCACGCTCCTGGGATGACCAAACGCAGATCCGGGACGAAAAGCTGGCCTGGGGTCGAACGCCAGGGAAAGAACATCGTAGCGTGGGAGGGATGGTACTACGGCTGGCATCGTAGGAGGATGAGGATGAGGAAGGAGGAGGGGGAGGAGGAGGAGGAGGAGGACTTCAGAATCTGTTTTTTGGGAGCGCCTGGGGATACTTCTCGTGGCCAAGGCTGGACGCAGCTCGAGAAGCTGGTTAGGATTCCTCCGGGAGGGGTCCAGGAGCCGATTCTGAGCGAAATCGGATGGGCACCCAGAAAACCCAGGCGTCGCGGAGCTTGGTTATTTGTTTATTTGCTTATGTTTTTATTTGTTTATGTGTTTATTTGCTTATTTGTTTATTTGTTTGTTTGTATATATTTGTACAGGATGGGTCCCCCCCAGCGACCCTCCTAGAGCTTCAAATTTGCGCATCACTACCTTCCTCCTCCTTTCTTTTCATCTCCCCGTCGTCGTCGTCGTCCTTCTTCGTATCCTCTGCCCTCCTCCCCAATCGGATTCCTATTGCAGGGGTTTCAATGGGGTTTCTACCGTACGAGTCACACCAGGTTCCTATAGTATAGATTGCAATCGGACTCCCATTGTACAGGTTGCATTTCCTATTGCACATAATGCAATAGGGTTGCCTTTGCACAAGTCGCAATCGGATGCCTGCTTGTACAGAGCACACTCGGACTCCCAATGTACAAGATACAGTAGGTGTCGTATTGTACAGGATACAAGGATATTCCTAGTGTACAGGTTAAACTAGGATTCCTTTTTTGTAATGTCAAAATGCACTCACGTTGTACATGCTACGATCGGGTTCTTATTGCACAGGTTACAGACCAGCCGCGCGGGCGGAATGTACCCCGCGCCATACTTTAATTTATGCTCGCGAAGGGCAAGAAATTCGTGTGCTTCGGCTCGGCCGCGCGGAATGTGGCCCGCACCGCATTTATAGTGGAGGCCCGTGCGAGTTTAAGCATTAGCTTCACGAGGCCGAATCCGAGGGGGATTTTTCTAGAATGTAAATTCGTATCTATACTCAGTGCTGAAGGAATAATATTTCGGTTTGCGCACGAATCTGTTTTTTCCGTGCGACCAAGAAACTATTCTGAGACAGTTCGGATCCGACGGTTCACATTCGGATTTCCAATGTTACACTTGGGTCCCTTGTGTGCAACTGCGATTGGATTCATTTGGTGCAGGATACATTATAGGACTCATTGTAAGGCTACATGTGAGTTTCTATTGAACCGTCTACACTCGGATTCCTCTTGTACAGGTAATGGTAGGAAACCTATTGCACCGGGTGCGCTTGTAGGATTCATAGTGCATGGGTTACAGTCGTACTCCTATATCACAGGTTACAGTCGGATCACTGTTGTAAAGTTGCGTTCGGATCTGCCTTATACAAGTTAATATATGATGGTTAGTGCACCTGTTACATCATGATTTCTATGGTATAGCTTCTATCAGCACGCATACTCTTACAGGGGATGCGGATTTCTATTGTCCATATTATAATCGGAGTCCGAGTGTACATTGTGCAGTTGGGTTACCTCTGTACAAATTCCAGTATTGTCCCGGTTGTACACTGGGGTTCCTGTTATATATGGCTTAAAGTTTTGGGCCAACAGGGGCGCGAATATGTCAACATACTGGACGTGTCACACACTGGCGCGGTGCTCGCATCCCACCCACCCCAGAAACCTGGTGCAAAGACACACGCACTGTGGTGCATACAATCCATCGGAGAAGGCTGCGTGAAGCAGGGAGGAGAGGGAGGAGCAGCGGGAACACGCGGGAGGAACAGCAGGCAGGAGGATCAACACAGGAACGCGCGGCGGATTTGGGAGGAACGCGCGATGTGGCTTCGGACTGTCTGGGGCCGCCTAGGGGTGTTCGGCGCGGAAATGTGTCCCGCACCATCTTTTGATATAGGCGATCGTGAAGAGCGCAGAGCAGCCAGGTGGGCGGAATGTGCCCCGCACCACATTTCTAATGGCAGATCGCAGAAGGCAAGGACTTCGCTCCCTTCGGCCGCGCGCGCGGGATGTGGCCCGCGCCACGTTTTCAATGGAGCATCGTGCGAGTTTAGGAATTAGCTTCTCGTGGCGATGTGAACCGCGTCGCAATTCTATTCTAATGGTCGATCGGGATGGGCAAGGACTTCGCTGTTTTCGCCAGCGCTGTCGGGATGTGGCCCGCGCCGCGTTTTTGATTGGATGGCCGTGCGAGTTTACGCGTCAGCTTCGCAAAGGGTTTTGCGCCGCACCGCATTTTAAAGTGGCGGATCGCGAAGAATTCAGGCTTCGCTCCCCAAAAGCGGGGACCGAGGGATTTCTTTCTGTTTAGGGTTGAAATTCATATTGATAAGGAATGCCTGTGATCAGGACAAGCGCGACGCCGTCAACATACTGGACGTGTCATGCACTGGGGCGGTGCTCACATCCCTCCCACTGGTAGAAGCCCATTACATATGAACACGCACACTTTGGTGCATGCAAGCCAGCGGGGAAGGCAGTGTTGAGCAGGGAGGAACAACGAGGACCATGGGGGAGGAACGGCAGGTAGGGTGAGCAGCGCAGGAGCGCGCGGCGGCCCTTGGGAGGAGCGCGCGGCATCGATTCGGAGTTTCTGGGGCCACCCAGCGCCGCATTTTCAATGCAGGATCGCGAAGGGCAGGGGGTTAGTCATCTTTCGGCGGCGCGCTCGGGATGTGGCCTACGCCGCATTTTCGATGGAATCTCGTGCGAGTTTAGGAATTAACTTCGCATGGCCGTGTGCGCCGCGCCACGTCTTTTAACAACTGATCGTGGCGAGTCTAGGAGATAATTCCCCGAGGCGGAACTCGACGGACATTTCTTGGTTTACGAAGAATTTTTTATTGGTACAGCGTATTGTTTGAAACAAAAGGCCTTTGCGGCGGAAGCAACTCGACCCCCCCGCCCCTCTAGGTTGGGGGGGTCGGCTGCCTTCCGTTCCCGTCCCCCCCCGCCCACATGTACAAACATAGGATTTAGAGTTGATCTACCCCCCTCGCGCCCCCCCGTTCATGTGGGGGCCGCTTCCAGGCCCTGGGGCCGTCAGAAGGCGATCCAGGGCGCCAAAGCCAGCCCGCTTGCGGCCTGCGGACAGAGCGCATCACGTCGCCGAAAGTTTGGGACCCCTTCGCAGCACCAGGGCTGTCTTTTCATCCCGAGCTTTCCTGGGGACCGCGTCGGCCAGATTTTTCGAGCAGCGCGCAGCCGCGGCGACGACGAGCGAACACGTCGACGCCCGACCCCGAAACGTCGGGAACGACGCCACGTCGACGCGATCGGACGGGAGCGGAAAGGGGAAGTTGGGGAGGAGGAGGGCCAGTTGTTTGCCAGAGAAGGCGTCGGCCCAAGGCGAACACGGTCTCCAGCAACGCCCGAAAGGAGGGAGGAGGGTAGATGAGGCGGAGGAGAGACGCCCCAAGAGCGTATGTGATGAACGATGGGACCTTGCCGGTCTTCTCATGCGTTATAGCCTTGGAGTTGCCAGCTCAGGAGGGTGTGGTAGCACAAGGCGGTCCATCGGCCCAGGCTGGTTGGCCTCTCCCCAGTCTTGTTCCGTTTGGGCAGTTCGGCATTGGCGAACTCTTCCGCCTTCCGCGGCGTATGCCACCGCACGGCGCGACGCCTTTGGGCGTGGATCGGGGGTGCAGGGTGGAGAGCGGCGCAGGCGGGGCGCCGCCGCGGGTCCTGGGGCCCGAGCGTGCGGAAGAGTGGCGCGGAGGGGCTCCGTGCGGATCTGGAAAGGAGCGCATCGGAGGGGAGCGGAACACGTGGTGGCAATGTGATAACGGGAACTGGGAACTGGCGAGTCCGCCGCGCCGCTACGCCGCTGGCCCAGAGTAGGCCTGCTCCTCGTCTGGGAAGGGCAAAAGGTCTGAACCAAAAGCTTTGGCCAGTAGTTTCGCCCGCCAGCATTGCTTCGCCCACTCAACCAGCGAATCGGGCGATTCAAAACCCTGCAGGCGAGCGACGTGGAAAAGGGGTACAGCACAGGGAACTCCACCACGTACTGCCAGAAGCTGATGCGCTCCTCACGGCCGCCGAGCCCAGACACCCTAGGCGGCCATCCATGTGGGCACTGACCCAAGCCCAACCCCAAAACCCCCAAGAGCAGCAGATTGGGATCCCATCGGCATCTCGTGCAGCCATTCATTCAGCGTCGCTCTCGCTCAGACCTCTGCACCCAGAGAGCCCCTTTGGCGAGGCAAGGGAGGGGTGCAGGTGGCGCTTGAGGCGAGAGCGCTGGGTCTTGAACCCAGCGTGCTGGGCGCCGAAACAC